CGGTAGAGCATGGGGCCCTGGCTCTCAGGGTCATGAGTTCAAGCCCCACACTGGGTGCAGAGATTAATGACCCAAATATAGAGATAAAATTAAAATTTAGAAAACAATAAAACTAATAAAAATAAAGAAAAGAAAAAGTGGGCATAAGCTAAATTCTCTGTCCTTCATGTACAGAGTTGATAGAGCTTTCAAAGCTATAAATCATCATCTTTACAATTCAAGAGAGCCCCCAGAAGAATTCAAAACAACTCCTTAAGAGTGGGTCTCTCCAGGGAATAGCAGTGAATAGAGATTTTTACTTCTTCATTTTATAACCTGATAACTAAATTAATTAACATATGAAAAATAAAGGCGAAGATAAATTAACTGTCAGAAAAGATGTATGAAGCTTTTTTTGGTTCTATCTTAATTATTTTATGCAGAGCGTTGCTGAATTGTTGCCACGGAACAGGTCACGGAAACAGCTCTCCTGCACCTTCTCCAGCTTCCCCGGTGTACTTTTCATCTATTGGAATTAATTAGATTGGACTTTAAAAAATGCAAGTCTTGGGGTGCTTGGGTGGCTCAGTGGGTTAAAGCCTCTGCCTTCTGCTCAGGTCATGATCCCAGAGTCCTGGGATGGAGCCCCACATTGGGCTCTCTGCTCAGCAGGGAGCCTGCTTCCTCCTCTCTCTCTGCCTGCCTCTCTGCCTACTTGTGATCTCTGTCTGTCAAATAAATAAAATCTTAAAAAAAAAAATGTAAGGCTTACTTTAGCCCCTGAAGTCACTCATCTATTCGGGTAGTTAGTTTGCCTATTGGGGCGCCTGGGTGGCTCAGTGGATTAAAGCCTCTGCCTTCCGCTCAGGTCATGATCCCAGGGTCCTGGGATGGAGCCCCACATTGGGCTCCCTATTCAGCCGTGAGCCTGCTTCCCCCTCCCTCTCTCTGCCCGCCTCTCTGCCTACTTGCGATCTCTGTCAAATAAATAAGTAAAACCTTAAAAAAAAAAAAGATTTTATTTACTTATTTGACAGAGAGAGAGAGAGAGATATCACAAGTAGGCAGAGAGGCAGGCAGAGAGAGAGGGGGATACAGGCTCCCCACCGGGCAGAGAGCTCCACAAGGAGGACTAGATGAAGGGCTAGACCAGGCGTTCAAATGAGGGGTTCAACAAGGGGCTCAATCCCAGGACCCTAAGATCATGACCTGAGCCAAAGACAGAGGCTTAAACCTCTGAGCCACCCAGAAGCCCCTAGTTTACAAAAAATATAAAACTGTGTATGTACAATCCTTTATGTAAAATGCTGTGAAACTTCAGTGAAATCCCCTTCTGGCTCATAACATTCCAAGAAAACGAAACAAATCATGGAAAAAGAAAAGATGAACTATGCTTGGTTCTTGGTGAGATTACAGCGAAGGGGCTATTATTGTTGTTGTTTTGTAATGCGGGAAGAATGATTTTTTTATCCAGCCTCTAATAGATCAGCATTGTCCTTCACATATTGATATATTAGCCCAATAGAAATGCTTTCCTTTGGCTAAAGAACAACCAAATATCAAGAAGCAAGGGGCTTGGGGCGCCTGCATGGCTCAGTTGGTTTAGCATCTGCTTTCAGTTCAGGTCATGATCTCAGGGTCCAGGGATGAAGCCCCGCGTTGGGTTCTCTGTTCAGTGGGGAATCCACCTCTCTCTCCCACCTACTATGCTCTCTCTGCCTCAAACAAATAAATAAAATCTTAAAAAAAAAAAAAAAAAAGAAGCAAGGAGATCGTGGGATCGCTCTTCACTGGTACTGTCTCAGGCTTTGGAGTCTCTGTGCTGAATTGCTGGGAGAGAGGAAAGAGGTTCCCCAGCAACTCACCAACCCAGATCTGTCTCCCCCTGATCAATTTCCAGGAGGGCTGTACTAAGATTCCAGGGATCTGAAGAGCCCTCCATACCCGAAATGCAGAAAGCCCTCATCCCCCTGCTTCAGTCCCATTAATACAAGTGAGCAGTTGGAGACCTTATTCACAGCCTCATGGTGACATTTCCTTTGGTACTTTGTAGTTTGGTTTTACAAGCTGCAGCACTTAGGGCCACAGCAAGCAGGTCTTAAAATGTTACTGAGTAGCTGCCAAAAAGATCTATTACTCAGGAAGCGATTGGAACAAAGTACAGAGGTACTGAAATATTTATGGAATTTTACCTACCATATTGTCTTGAAGGGCTAGCAATAAATTAATACATGTGTCCACACCACGTAATACCACAGTGGGATTTTTTTTTTTTTTTTTAAGATCCAAAGCTGAATTGCTTTCAGATACCAAGAATGCCTTGCCATTTTTAAATGCTTTCCGTTTTTAACTTGGATTGGCACGCTCCGACTCAATGCCCACTGAGTTCACGGACTCTGTCAAGCTGGTTTGACCTCTTGCCTTCCCGACCCTCTGGATCGGGTGCCCCAGTCGGTGGGTGGCAGGAGGGCTGGGAAGAGGGACGAATAGACGGCAGGGGGTGGGCAGGTGGGTACATGGAGGTCCGTGCGTGAATATGAGCCTGGGTATCTCTGGAGCACGCAGGGCCTTAAAAAGTCAGAGAGACCTGGAGCAGTTGGATGGGGACCTGGTGAGGGGATTAAGCTGGAAAAGTGGGTGGGAGAAGGAACCGCGGCACAGCTCTCCTCAGTTCTCATTCCTGAGCAGATGCACTGGGTACATTCATGGCCTCCCTGGCTGCTGTCTTTGGAACCCAGAAAGGAAGACGGAAGCCGAAGAAAGGCGGTAGGATCGCAGTGCCCTCTGGTGGCCACGAGGGGACTTGACATTTGGTTAGTCTTAGGTACAATTATTTTTATTGTCTATTTCTCCCAACCCTGCACCCCCACTAGACTATAAAGTCCACGAGGACAGGGACTTGCGTCTGTTTACTCATTGTTGATTATCCAGTGTCTAGAATAGTGCCTGGTACATAATAGGTGTTCGATGCATATTTATTGAACGAGTGGCTGGTAGATTTCCAACCCTGCTCCACCACTTTATGGATGTACGAAGCTGAGCAGTTCTCTTAACTTCCTAAGTCCTCAGTTTCCTCATGGGAAAGATGGAGACGCTCACCCCCACCCCTCATGAGCATGGAGGGAAAGAGACCTACCCAGACTGAGCAAGGGTGCTCAGTCAATGGGCGTTCCCTTCTCACCCACCAGCAAGCGCTGGTGAAGAATTATATGCTGACTGCGGCACCCAATTTGATGGGCACATTTGCCATAATGAGCATGGGCCTCCGCTGGGCACGGGGCAGCTTGGGGAAATCACCCAAACCTAATCCCGGGCTGGCCAGGGAAGAAGGAAGTGTAGCCGGCTAGAGTGATATCAGGTAAGGTATGAGATTCCTCCTCTTCCTATCCCACTCTCAACCTCTGGCCCCCACCTGCACATCCACACCCAACTCTTCCTACTGCCCTGAACCCATGGGGCTCCATCTGCCCTCTGGGCCTTTGCACACACTGCTTCCCCTGCCTGCATTCCCTCATCTCCAACCCCATTGCCACGACCCACATTCGAGGCTCTGAGGGGCAGCATCACCCTCATCCTGGGCTCCCTGAAACCGCCGTGGCCCCCTCACATGCATCCTTGTGCAGTGGACTCGGTCTACACTGCAAATATGCTTATCTCACTTTCCACTTTAGTCTGATTGTTCTCAGAATAGAATCCAAGTCCTCCGACCTACCATCTTGTGGTCTGGACCCAGCCCAGCTCCTAGCCATCTCGTCTCTCTTGATCCCATCTTCAAATCTTCCACCAAATAATCCAAGCCATTTCCTACCTCTGAGCCTTGCAGTCCCCTCTGCCTGGAAATCCACTCCCTTGCAAGGAAGGCATGTGTTACTTTTGCCTGCCCAGGATCCCTTTCCTTTTCCTCTGATAATGGTAACCCCTCGCAGCTCTTGGATCTGGAGGTGCCAATAGGGCTGACCCATTTCTGCCTTTGAGGGTGAGCTTGATCCCCAGACTTCTAGAGTTCTTTTTCTTTTCTTTTCTTTTTTTTTAAGATTTATTTATTTATTTGAGAGAGAGGCAGGGAGGGAGAAAACACAAGCTGGGGGAGCAGCAGAAGGAGAGAGAGAAGCAGGCTCCTTGCTGAGCAGGGATCCTGATGCGGAGCTGGATCCCAGGACCCCAAGATCATGACCTTGAGCAGAAGGCAGCTGCTTAACAGGCTGAGCCACCCAGGCACCTCTAGAGTTCTTTTTCCTTTCTTAATTGGGATGCTGTGGGTGCAGTACACATTTCCCAGTTGGCTGCAGCCCACTTCTCTTCATCTTATTCCAGCTTCTCCCATTTATTTTATCTGCTTGGGTCCTGGAGGCATCTGGATTTGAGATTCCTGGTACACTTCTCCCTTCTGCCTCTGTCAGGCTCTGATTCCCTCCTAGATGCCAAGTGTTTTGCCTTCCCATTCCTACTGTGTCCGTGAATCCTGATTTGCTTATCTTGATGCCCAGAAGTACCCCTGGTTCTGTGGGCATTCAGTTATGCCCCTTGGGGGCTGAGGAGCTGAGGCTCAGAGATCTAACTAAGTTCCATGGAGCCAGGAAGTCTGTCTCACTGAGCATGACTCTTTTCCCTGGAGAAAGGACAGGAGGCCCCAGTGCGTATTAAAAGAGCACAGGTGCAGCCCCAGGGGGTGTCTCTGGGCTGTGTCCTGGGAGAATGGTCCTTTCAGGTCAGGGCATCACCAAAAGCAGTGGCTTACCACTTCTACCCAGTATCTTTGCTAGATTCATCCCCACTGTGTGCTCTGAGCCTGCCCACAGCCGTGGCTCACACGTAATTGCTGTGTGAGGGATGGTCTTGGCTTGTCTGCGCCTTTCACATCTGAGATGAGCTCATTGCTTTCTTGATCTGCCCCATTCCTGGCAAGGGTCTGTAGGATTGAGGAAGGGGCCAAGGGCTAGTTTACGTCCATTAAGGCAGACTGGGACCCGCAGCCTCCCCCTGGGAAAGGAGCTATGTGGATGAGCTGTTTTCCTCTCCTTCTGGCAAAGGGCAGAGAAGACTGTGGGTTCTGGGAGGGGAGTACCTCTCCAGACTGGAGCCTTTCCGGGAAGAGTCACCTCAGTGACCATTTGTCCTGGGGAGCTCTCCTGTCACGTTTCCTCCCGGAGACAGCCTAGAAGGGTAGGGAGGCCAGACAAAGGAGCAAGTGAGCACTCGGGTGTGTAGGAGGGGGGAGGCTGGATCTAGAGCCTCCGTTTAGACCCTTGAGTCCTGACTTAGTAGGAAAGGAAGTCTGACATCTGAATGGGGACCTCCACCTGCCCTATCCCTTACTCCCTCAACCGGCCTTTGCTCTGGCCCCCGCTACCCTGTGTCCACCTTTTTCTCCCAACTAATAATAGCACTATGGAACCAGAACCGAAAGAGTACCAAATGGACGGTGCATGGTGGAGTCTGTTCGGGACCCCAGAAGTGAATGGGCAGCTTCTCACCTCCTGCCAGAGGTGAGAGGCAAAACACTTAATAACCAGTACAACATGGGCACCAACCACGTAGAATGTTCCAGCTGAATCTCAGACCTGATGCCACGAATGCTCAAATATAAGATGTCATTGACCATAAAATGTATTTACTATCACGGGAAAAACTTGTCCGTGGAATTATGACTAATGCCTGCTTGCTTGCTTGCTTGCTTGCTTTTTAAAAGATTTTATTTAAGAGAGAGCGTACCCATGGGCGGGGCAGGATTAGAGGGAGAAGTCGATGAGCTACGGTAAGGCAGGGTACACTGGAGCGGTCCCTTCAGCAAACAGCTTGAGGGAGAAATCCAGGGCGGGGGCAGCCTGGGTCAGCATCCCCAGAGAGATGACGTCGATGTGGGGCCCGCAGAACCGAGGGAGGTTGACCAGCGTGATGCCCCCGCTGGCCTCCACGCCCACACCCGGGAAGCGGGCCTTCAGCGCGGCGGCCGTGGGGTGCAGCTCCTGCGGGGACACAAGCCAAGGGGAAGTGAGGGTTCCCCCACGCAGGCGCTTCCTGGGAAGCAGAGCCTGCCTCACCTCGGGCTTGAAGTTGTCCAGCAGAACGAGGTCCGCTCCCGCCTCGGCTGCCTCCACAGCCTCCTGCAGACTGCGGCACTCCACCTCCACCTTCAGGGCGAAGTCGGCCACCTGCCGCGCCCCCCAAACCGCCTGTGGGGCAGGTGGGCGAAGGGGACAGTGAGGACAGCGGCCCTGGGGTGGATAGTGAGAAGACCAGGCAGGCTGGTGGTTTCTCTCACAGGAGGTGAAACCACATGAAATGACCGCTTGGGTGGATCAGAAAAATGGCCAAACACCAGCCGTATTCGGCAGCTCGACGGGAGTTCGGTTTGACTCGAGAATATGGAAACTGGAAGGGGGCTCTTTCTGCCCAGGGGTCCTGTCCTCCTGCTATAATAAAAACTCCTTCTTGCACCGAGAAAAAGATAAAAATAAATAAATAAAACTGGAAGGCGTCTTCGAGAACATTTTTACCTAGGAAACCAGTCCCGGGAGCTAGGGTGACCTGCCCAAGGTGCCAGCGCCACCAACACCAGGTTCCCTGGAAGCATGCCCTTCGCTTTTGAACATCAGAGCAGGACCCCGAGTACCGGTAGAGAAGAGACGGCCACTCGCCCATTTGGCGGATAGAGCTCCCGGATAAGAGGGATCAAGGGGGTCCAGCAGCCCTGACTCCCAGGCCATTACTGTTCCCCAGGGCGTGGTTGCGGGGGCGGGTCCCCAGTAGAGCAGGGCTGCGGCGGGGAAATTGGAGCGGGGCTGGGGCAAGAGCACGGCTGGGCACATACCTTTTCCACGCCTCCGGCTGCCACCAGGTGGTTGTCCTTCACCATCACTAGCCCCCCTAGGTCGTAGCGGTGGGCCTTGGCCCCGCCCACCAGGAGCCCGTACTTCTCCACCAGCCGGAAGCCAGGCGTGGTCTTCCTCGTGCCCGCCACGTGCCCGGCCCAACCCGCCTCCCTGGCGGCCTCCACTGCGGCAGCGGCGGCGCTGGCCACCCCACTGCAGCGGGCCAGCGTGTTCAAGGCCACCCGCTCCCCCAGCAGCAGGCAGTGGGCGGGGCCCCGGACCTCGGCCACCCTGGCCACGGGCACCAGCTTTGAGCCTTCGGGGAGGAACCAGGAGACCTGGCAGTTGACTCGGGCAAAGATGGCATCAAAGAAGGGCCTTCCAGCCAGTACCCCGGGGGACTTGGCCCACAGGACCGCCTGCGAGGGGGCCGCCCCCGTGACCAGAGCTGCGTGGTTGGGACCCGGGCAGTCCTCTCGGAGCCAGTTGTCTGCCAGGGCGGCCAGAGTGGTGGGGGGCAGCAGCAGCGCCAGGCCTGGGAAGGAAAGACGGAGACCGGGGTTACATTTTGGCTGCCGCTCTGGGAGTCGGGAGTGGTTGTCGAAACATTTAAGGACCAGCGAAACTGGGGCCTAGCCCATCAGGGTCAAGATCTGGGGGTCCCGGGAGAGGACCTTGTGGACTGCACGAGGTTGTCAGATTAAGTAAATAAAAACACGGGACACCGAGGTAGATTTAATTTCTGGCGAACATCAAAGGTTTTTATGTTTTTGTTTTTAAGTGTAAATGATACTTACAACATACTTACACTTAAAAATTATCTGTTGAGTATCTGAAATTCAGATTTAACTGAGTGGCCTATAGTCTGTGGTAAACCTGTACAGATAGTGACCGACTGAAGAAGACCCGAGTCACCTGCTGCCTTTGCCGCTGGCCAGGCAGGACGCCAGTGTGTCTGCTCCATAGCTGTGGATACTGAGTAAAGGCAAGTAGGCTGAGGTCACACAGCAAATGGGTGGCAGAGTCCGACCCACCAGGCTGCATGGCGGTGGCCGTTGGTTCTTCTGCCTTTGCACCTCTTGCGTGGAGCACCCCGCCCCCTACACCTGATTTTTCAACGAACTCTCCTCTCTCTAGAGATGGGGTCTGTACAAGGAACGTGCAGGGGGAAACTGGGCTTGAGCCATTGCTCTGTGAGGCACAGCTTCAGGAGCGTGGGCGAGTCCTTTCCCGGTAAGAAAAAGAGTAGTGCCGGGGCTCCTGAGTGGCTCAGCGGGTTAAGCCTCTGCCTTCGGCTCAGGTAATGATCTCAGAGTCCTGGGATCAAGCCCCGCGTCTGGCTCTCTGCTTCCCCTCTTCTCTCTCTGCCTGCTGCTCCGCCTACTTGTGATCTCTCTCTTTCTGTAAAAAAAAAAAAAAAAAAAAAAAAGAGTAGTGCCCACGGTGGTCTTTTCCGCGGGCATATAGCGGTCAACCCGCTATTAGGTCTGTTGAACGGATGGGTGAGCTCAGACACGGTGCAACATCGCCATCTATCGGCCAGGAGAAGACCTGCAGCCCCATGTGCTCGAGCCCTGGATGGACGCGGCGCCTCTGTGGAGGAGGGGGAGATCATTGGATGACATGTTGGGGGATTTCAACTGGTTACTATGTTAGGCGGTTTTGTTTCGCTTCCTCACTTTTGCTCCAAGCTGAAGTTAAGACCAGGCGTTCTGGCTTGTTCTACTCTCAGAATAGGGCCCTTCTTGCCCAGCCTTTCTCCCCCAAAGCCAAGCACCCAATTTTCACCTCCCCCACCACCGGGGATTGTACCTGGGCCTCCTTTCCCACATTCTGCTCCAAGTGGCTTCCATTCCTGGCCCAGAGCCAGCTGTGCCCTGGCTGGCTGCTGGGAACAGTCAGTAAAAGTGACAAAGTCGTAGTTCCTATCTCCACTGTTCACCAGCCAGCCAGGGAAAAGGCCCCGGACATACAGCAGAGATGCAGAAGCTCCCACTCCATCCACACCAGGTCCAGTGATGTTTGCTTTTTTTTTTTTTTTTTAAGATTTTATTTATTTATTTGGCAGAGAATGAGAGAGCAGTGGGAGCAGGAGAGGGAGAAGCAGGCTCCCCGTTAAGCAGGGAGCCTGATGTGGGGCTCCATCCCAGGACCCTGAGATCATAACTTGAGCTGAAGGCAGACTTCAGCTGCTGAAGTCACAGACTTCAGATTGAGCTGAAGGCTTAACCCACTGAGCCACCCAGGCATCCCTGATGTTTGTTTTTTAAAGTGAACATGAATCCTTCAACTGGTGAGACCATGAGAAACAAACCATGGGGCACCTCTACAACGAAATTCTACTCAGCAATAAAGGAACCAACTACAGACATACACAATAGGGACGCGTTTTGAATGAATTATTCTAAATAAAGAAGCCTGATTCTAAAGGCTACGTGCTATTTGAGTTCGTCATCCATATGACATTCTGGAAAAGGCAAAACCACAGCAAGAGATGAGACTAGTGGTTTCCTAAGAGTGGGGGAGGGGGGGGGACGGCACCAGGGAGTCTGAGGTTGGGGCCAGACTATTCTGTATTTTGTCTCTAATGGTGGCTACACCATTGATGTGTTTGTGAAGACCCACAGAACTATACACAGAAAAGGGTGAATTTTATTCCTTGTAATTATACCTCATTAAACCTGACCTTAAAATAAGACGATAAAAACTAAATCACTCTCCCGCCTAAAACCCCATGTTCATCCTGTTAGCTCCAGCTGATCCTTCTCTCCATTTTTCATTGATTCTTTTGACAAATCATTCTTTTTTTTTTTTTTAAAGATTATTTATTTATTGTGACCGAGATCACAAGTAGGCAGAGACAGGCAGACAGAGAGGAGGAAGCAGGCTCCCCGCCGAGCAGAGAGCCGGATGCGGGGCTCGATCCTAGGACCCCAAGACCATGGCCGAGCCGAAAGCAGAGGCTCCAACCCACAGGGCCCCTTGACAAATCCCTCTTGAATGCCTGCCTTGTGTCAGCTACTAATTGCTGGGGGACAGAGTGGGCAGCTCTCTCTCTTAGCTTTCAGACCTTAGCCTATACTGTTCCAAGGCTATGCCTCTGCCCGGAAGTCCCTTCCCTTCCCCTCACCCCAGACACTCCCATTCACCTCCACTCCTCTTTCAGGTCTTCTCTCAGATATCACTTCCTTGGCAGGGGGCTCTCGGAGACCCCCTGTCAGGCCACGTGCTCAGTCAGCTCCTTGTTCTTCACTTATGCTCTATGCTAAGGGCCAAAATGAGTCATCCCAAGAGAGTTTTCTGCTCCATCCCGAGCGCTAACACACAGAACCACATAAATGTGCTCCTTTGATAGGTCAAGAATGGCCAAATATTGGTGATTTTGTATTGTTTTGCTTAATACTTGGTGTTCAGAGATACTTATCCACGCGGAGAGACTGCACAGTGGAATGAATCAGAACCCAGACTCCGGGGCCCTACGGTCTGGGCTCGGCCACCTTCAGCTAAGTGATCTTGGGCAAGGGACTGAAAGTCTCCGGGGCTTCGAAGGTGCCTCCTTTGTGACAGGGATAAGGAAAATAATCACTTCACAGGGTTTTATTAAAATTAAATGAGTTACCATCAGCAAAGCTCTCGGGAACACCGGCGCTCGGTAGATGTGTTTGCTAAAGGATGACGGAGCCTTTACCAAGGGTCGAGGGAGCACAGAGGAAGAAATGACTAAGTGTCTGTGAGGAAGGAGGAGGTAGTTTTTGTGGCCTTGAAGGATGAGTAATCTTTGCCAGGCAGAGTTATGAGGTGATGGTGTGTGTGGGGGGGGGTGGCATTTTGGGCTGAGAGCAGGTGTTTGAGACAAAAAAGCAAGAACATAGAGAAATGCTGTAGGGCAGGCTTCTGGAGAACAATGGGATGGCCAGAGTGAGAAAAGCCTAAATTATTTAGCTGAGCAATTTGGACAGATCTTAGGGGCCATCGCAGAATTTTAACCACAAGGGAATTTTTTTTTTTTAAAGATTTTATTTTTAAGTAATCTCTACACCCAGAGTGGGGCTTGAACTTACCACCCTGAGATCAAGAGTCCCAAACTCTACCGACTGACCGTCTGAGCCAGCCAGGCACCCCAAGCAAGGGAATTACAGAATGATGATTTTGTTCTGGAAGGGTCACTTTAGCCACCCACTGGAGATAGGCTGGGAGGCGAAAGGAGGCTGAGGCAATCGGCCAGACAGAGACGAAGCCCTGAACTTGGGCAGGAACCGTGGGAATCGCAAGCAGGGGCAAAAGTGAGAGCTGTTTCTAAGGCAGGGTCTGCCAGAATGAGCATCTTATGGGATGTGGAAGCCTTGGGTCTCTGCCATGGGTTTAGCTGCAAACCGCCACAAGGCAACAGTCAGGGCAGAGGATGGGGGCAGCTGGAGGCAGCAACCTGCACGCTTCTGGGGTGCCAGCCGTGGGCTCCGTGGTTCTCTCTGGTTTTCTCATCTGAAACTCACCACAGGGGATTTCTCCCATTTACAAGCACAGTAAGTGAATGTCAAGGAGGCTCGTGCACCAGGAGGCAGCTGGGAAGCAGCAGAGCGCGGGGGTGGGAGAGTGGGGAGGGGTGGGGAGAGACTTTGGCTCTGCAGATGTTAGGGCTGAAATGCCAGCAGGAAAATGTGCACTGGCCGTGCCCTGAAGGTGGGTGCTGGCATCCGGACAGACAATGGGTGGGGAATGGGGATTTTGGAGCCACTGGCAGACACGGGTGATGACTAAGCCCAGCATCGGGTAAGATCAGCAGGTCAGGTAAGAAGAGGAGGGTTCTGGGAAGCACCAGTATTTAAAAAGAGAAGCAGCACCAGGACAGAGTGGGTGTCTGGAGCCGAGGGCTTCAAGAAGTAGGATGGGAGCAGACGCAAGTAGAAGGAAGGCTGCAAGTGGGCATAAACCTTAGCAGCGGGGAAGCTATTGCTGGAGCAGTCTTAGTGCTGTGCGGTGCAGGCAGAAGACACAGTGTCATGGTCAAGGACTAGTACATGGGAGGAGAGGAAGTGGAGGTGGTGGGGGTGATCGCTCTTCTTGGCAGAACCGAGAAAGCAGAGATCCACCTGAGATTTTCAGACTCTCTGCTGCTCAGCCCCAGCCCAGAGCCACTGAATCAGAATCTTTCAGGGGGTGGTTCCCGGGCATCCAAGGTTTGGGACACATCTCCTACCCCCGTGATTCAGATGCCCATGAAGGTTAAGAACCAATGCTCCCGGGTGCCTGGCAGGCTCAGTTGGTATAGCGTGCAATTGGTGATCTTGGGGTGGTGAGCTCGAGCCCCACATTGGGTGTAAAGATTACTTAAAAAAAAAAAAAGAACCAGTGGTCACATGACAAACACATATTGTGCCTTCGTTTACGTGAAATGTCCAGAAAAGGCAAATCAAGGAGGCAGATGTCAGAACAGTGTTTGCCCGGGGTTGGAAATTAACCTTAAATGGCATGTTGTTGTACTGGAGTGATGGAAATAATCTGTGGAGATGAGCGTGCAACTTAGCAAATTTACCAAAAATCATTAAACTGTTCACTTAGACAAAGGAAGCAAGAACCGATGAGTGGCCAGAGGCAGGAGCCATCTTGGAACAGCAGTGAACCAATCAATCCAGACACTGAACAACAAAACTCAACGTCAATAAGAAAGACAAGCAGATACTGGGCGCTCCACCAACACCCAGCAATGCTCTTGCCCAAACAGCTAAGCCAGAGTTGGATGAGACATCCAGATGCAACGGCCAATTTGTAAGAAAACCAGAGGACGGAGGAACATGTTAAACTCTACCATGGGAACATAGCCAGCAAAGTTCACACCACAGGAAACTAACAGGACAACCTCATTTTTCCAACGAACATATTGCAAGGAAAACAAAAGATTAAAAGAATCTCAAAACAGGGGCGCCTGGCTGGCTCAGTCAGTAGAGCATGAGACTCTGGATCTAGGAGTCGTGAGTTCGAGCCCCATGCTGGGTGCAGAGATGACTTGAAAATAAAATCTTTAGGGGCACCTGGGTGGCTCTGTT